CAGCATGAGCTTTACCTTTGAGGATTTGTTACGTAAGCGCTCCTGAGTTATAGCTTGTATGAAGAATAGTGTGGGGTTTGTGGAATTTTCTGGAAGATATAAAGAAGGTCTTCATACTGCTATGATTTCAGCCAGAGGCTTTCAAGGGCCTGTCAGATAAGTAGGCAGCACGGCTTGTCAGGATGGGGAGCGTGATGTGCGCGGAGGAGGAGAGCACTGGCAGGCCTTTCAGAGCAAGGCGGGCGGCTACGTCAGGACGGCAAATCTGTCCGGATCATCGAGCTTTCCCTGCATACGAGCGACGGACGCTATTATTGGCGCTGGGTCAACAATGGTACATGTATGATGGCGTGAAGCCGGCCTGTTTTGGTGTGGTAAGCTGATGTGCTGAGGCTTCGTACCTCTGGCTTGGACAGGTGCAGACCTGCTGTCGCTTCGTGCGCGGCTGGATTGCCTACGATCCCGTGAGAAATACGACCGACGACCTCGCTCCAGCCTCGGAGCTATATCCGTACTTGACGAATCCGTTTGTTAGACCTGGCTAGGACTTCTGGCCAGATGAGTGAGGCACAAAGTGCAATCACATCGACAGGAAGAATAGGTTTCAGATCGAAGCACACCGTCCAGAGAACTGCATCGGAATCAAGCACAAAGAAGCCGCCTGTGCTCCATCATGGACGCTGCCGGGTATTCAAGATTCTAGAGGAGCTGCAATATTGTGAGTATTGAGCGGCGTAACTCAGACGCCCGGTTGCCGATGTGTCGCATCGGCACGAGCATCGTGGAAGATTGGCTCAAGTAAAAGGGTTTCTCGATCGGCACGGCACAGCAGCGATGGTGCACTCGCAGGCAGTATGCGGTTTCGATTTCATGTGCCTCATGTGGGAGAACAAGGCACGATTCTCGCACAAGGGGCACGACCTGCAGGAAGTCGACATGCCCCAACCAGAAAGCAAACCCCTATTCCTCCACGGACTTGGGTTTAGGGTTCGGCTTAGGGCTAAGACAGTTAAGTTCGATGAAACTGGTTGTGGCATGCAGGTTTGAAATAGGATCTGCCTGATGGGTTCATAGCGCCATTTAAGCAAAGGTCCATTCTGCTATGAGCGGGTTTAGGGCTTAGGGGTTCACGGGTCGGGGTCGGCTTGGGGCTTGCGGATCAACCCGTGAGTGGGAACACATTGTGCATTAAACACTGAAGCCCTGAACCATGAACTCGCCAGGGCCAGTAGTGTCACCGCCCAGGCCTTAAGCCCCAAGCTTCTTCACAGCTTGATTTGAGGGTTTCGAGGAGTGTAATGGTAGCGAGAGCTTTGGGTTTTAAGGCTTAAGGATAAGGGTTTCGCAGCGCAGGAAACCTTACAACCCGTTTTTTAAGCCCCAAACCCTGATCCCTATTGTGCGTGTATATGGCTTGGAGGATCCTTGGGTTATGGGACTTAGGAGATTCCCTGTTTTACAAAAGCTTGTCGATGATCGGGTTTAGGGTTTAGGCTGTAAAGATAGGGGTGTTAGGGTTGAGCGGTTTTGTGTTTACGGTTAGGGAAGTATGGGATATTTTACACGGTTCAAGTTTTAGTCACAAGAAGTGCAATTTATGAGGGTTTCATCGCCTTTGCCACCGGTCAGCGGTGCACGCAGCAAGGTTGAGGGCTTCGAGTTCCTTCGAAGTTAAGGGTTCTTGGAACCGGTTGTATCGGGTTGTTTAAGGGTTGAGGGCTTCGGGGTACGAGTTAAGAGTTGTGGGTTCTGGGTGTAAGGTAAAGGGTTTAGGTTCCTCAGAGTACAGGGTTTGGGAGTGTAGGGCTTGAGGCTTCCGGGCGTTGCATCAACAACCAATGGTTCTAATGACGTTACAACGTGGGGCAGAAGCAGAGGCCAAGCTTGATGCTGCACGTGAGTTGGGGTTCGGCAACAGCGGTTCCAAAGCACCACCGGCTGCCGAGCCTGCTGCAGGGGAGGAGGGCGGTCCCGCAGTGCACGCAGTATTCACAAGATTTTTCACAACATCTTGGTTTTGGGCGGTGCAAAATTTAAGATCCAAAGCTTTCCGCAAGACACCGATGTCCGCCACGCGATTTCCTTTGCAGAGGTTTGCCGGGACCTTTCCATGGGCCTTTCACACGGATGCAGACGGCTCGTGAAGCCATTCAGGCTTCGGCTTTGGGGCCCCAACCCAAAAGTTTAAGCCCGAATTCGAGGCACCGCCCCATCCCCTGAAGCCCGAACTTTCGAAACTCCGAAACCATGCAAGACCCTTTAAAACCCGAAAGAATTTGGCCTACAATCCAAGGAGAACCTTCTAAAACCTTTATAAGCCCCAAAAGAGCCCTGCTCAAAGCCTTCTAGATTCTGAACACTGACGGGTTAGGGTTTAGGGTTCTAAAAGATTGGAAACCCTGAAGCATGCTACAGCTCCAAAAGTCCCAACCCTTCAAGCCCTAAGCCCCAAATTCTATACCCCACAACCCTAAACTTCAAGCCCTGGGCGCGTAAACTCCTGAACCCATTTAAGCCTTTTGGGACGTGAGACAAACCAGCACCTTTGAAGACCTGAGGGGCTCTAGGGTCCTATCATTTCAAGGAAACCCTACAGAAGCCTGCGTGCCCGTGAGGAACTACTACTCCACTAAACCAAAAAACCAGGAGCCCCAGACCCTGATCCTTAAACCCTCCGAAGTCCCGAATTGAAGAAGCGGTTGCAGGAGCAAGTGGACCCGGAGAATATGTTTGCCAAAGGCATCCGGGCGGCCACGGGCATTTTTAATTAGGGCTTTGGACACTGGGTCGGGTTCTGATTTGGGGTTCGCATGTGAGCATTCGAGATGTTGCCATCTAACCCCCTAATTGGGTCGTCAGTTTGGGGGATTAAGTTGACCCTGTAGTTTCGGCTGCCTACAAATCGCCAGACCCTAAACTACGGCTCTGACCAAGCAATGTGATACGGAGCCAAAATTTAAAGACCCTAAACGTCACTAAGCCCTGAAACGCCCAAAAATCCAAACCCTAAGCCCCCTCCACCCTAAAGCGCCCAAAAGCCCTAGACCGGAATTTAGCGAGCAGGGTTGCAGGAAAAGAGCTTCTGGAAGTTGTGAGGCCTTACGTATATACAGCAGCATTCCAAGAAGCTAAACAGGCTACAGATGGCCAAAACATGCAGGAAGGTACACATACGTCGTGTTTTACATATATACATACCTTTTACAATGTACAGATACATATGTGCATATATACATATAAACATATATA